GTTTTAAATGAATTGAAATTCTTAGATTCTTTTGAGATTCATTGAACTTTTCAATGGCATGTTTAATCTCGATTATGCCCTTCAAGTTTGTGATTGAGATATTGAGGATCACAAACAAGGTGTGAATAACCATACAAATTAGCTTGGTACTCTCGATGTCATTAATCACCTAATCAATGTGTCGGTTAACCATACACGCTCCATTGATCAATGATAATTTACGAGAAACCCATTTCCATCCTTCATTAGTCCACATTAGTGTGTCGGTTAACCACACATTCTCCACTAACTGACCAGTAAGGTGCAATGTGCAATTTCATGGGTTAGCATCAAATTCACATTTTTCCTAAAGTAACTAAGATTGGGAATTTATAAGTGTTTAGTTACTTTGTATTTCATTATACTTTTAATGAGGATTTAAGTGTCCTATCAAACCCATTCGGCTAACGACCCTCCACTGGTCAAGGGTGCGGTGGGTAAGAGTGGATACCCAATGGCGGTCATCTTACAGGCCGCTTCCTTAAACACCCCTTATAAACCAGCTTCGTGAATGAGGCCTACTAACGGTAAGATTGACTTTTTACTTATACGTAAATAATATATTAAACTTTTAATTTTATATAGTATAAGGGTGTATTTTACACTTATAAAATACTAGGTGGTTTAATCTATTAATAAATTAAACTTTTAGTTTAATTAACTTTAAACCATATGATTATGGATTTATTAACTTTCTCTTTTAATTAAACATTTAATCAATTAAATAAAGTCCATAAGAGTGTAATTTGAACTATTCAAAGGAAACATCAAGGTTCTAGATACAAAATTCAAAATTAAAACTATTTAATTAATTTTTTTAAAGTTATGAACCCAAGAGTTGCACCTTTTCAAATTACTAGGTTTTTTTAGAATTCAATGTTTCATAAATAAGACTTTTCAATTTCCAAAACTTGAGGGCAAGTTTTGTAACTCTTGAAAACCTTTTGAATTCCAAACTTGATGGCAAGTTTTGTATCTCCTTAAAAAAAACTTTTTTAAGTTCCAAAACTTGATGGCAAGTTTTGTAACTCTTCAAAACATTTAGATCAAATTTTAACCAATAAAATAATCATATTATCTTTTACCAATTTGACCTAATTACAATTCATGTAGCAAGATAAATCAAATAATACAAATAATTAGCTTATCATATAATTTGTAATTATCTTAATATTTGACATTTATCTTTTAATTGGATGAGGTTAATCACTACCAAATAAGAAAAAACATATTTTATGATATAAAACAGTTCATAGTAATGATCATAATCCAATTCTGGCCAAAAAAACCCAAAAAAACTACAACCAGCCTATCCAACTCGTTGAGTCAGATACTGGACTCGTCGAGTTGGCTTGATTTGTGCTTGACTCGTCGAGTCAGATCATAGGATTCGACGAGTCCACTGTCCAGACAGCAGTTTTTCAATTTTTCCAGCTTTGAACAAATAACCAATGCATCTATAAAACATAAAACAACCCATGGCTCTGATACCACTGTTGGGTTTTATGTACTATAACACTCCTATGGTGCACATACAACCCTAATGCTTTGGATCTAAGTTTTCTTTAGTTATATATGCAACAAGAAATATCCAAAGCATGAAACCTATAACTAGCATACAACTTGATATTTGAAACATAAAACAAGTTAGACAATTACTTCTTTGTTATAGCTTGTAGAGTTTTGGCCTTTCAAGAGCTTAGCACCTCAAGTGTGATGCCTCAAATGGTTCACAAAACACCAAGAGCAAGAGGAGGACAAATGAGAGAGAGGTTGGAGCACCCAAAATCGGCTATACCCATGTTATGACACTTGTGTATCGATTTTGGGCTTAAGGGAATACATATATAGTGTAAAATTGCAAGAGTCATATGTAAACCCTAATTCTTACACTTAGGCTTATGATCCAATAACTCATATGGACTAACTCTTCATGGACTCTCACATAAACTTAGTCAATCATGGATCGCCTAAACCATATGTATCACTGATTTACATAATCAGTCCCCGTTAATTTAATTAGTCTCTTTTGATCACTAAAGTAATTCCAAATTAATTCTTGATCAATACTAATTAAATAACATGATTTCTCAACTAATATATTATAGTTATAATATATTGATAAATCACAAATAACCTCTTTCTCAAATATCCATCCTATCAAATTGCTCTGGTGAATGCAACCCAAAATGGACCATGCTACTCTCGGGTCAAGTACATACCAATTGTAGTTATGGGCTTAGACACCTAATCCAACACCAGGATCTTGGCGGAACTTTCAATACACCTAATAACAGAGACATCGATAACTTCTTTGAATGTAACACCTTCAATACTAACTGTATAAATCTTGATGCAGGAATAAGTCCATTCATAGCCAAAGAGCTTCCACAACTAAGATAAATGATCTCAAGTGTACCAGGGATGGTCCAACCTATACCGAAAGTATCCCCCACCAGTCACAGAATCTCAAGATTTAGCCAGCGTTGAAGTTCCAAAGTACTTCCAAACTCCCATCATGAAACCTTAAGATGGAACCACAAATCAAGAGGAACACATAGCACAATAGAGAGAAAGAGAGAGAGAGAGAGAGAGAGAGAGAGAGAGAGAGATAATGGAAATCATTCGCATTCCATAACACTTAAAAGAAGCCTGCTTATGCAAAGGTTTTGGCTCGAATCTTATAGGATCAACCTTGAAATGGCTTCTCAATGTTCCTCCTTACTCTATTATGTCTTTTGCTCAATTAGGTAATCGTTTCAATAATCAGTTTACTTATAATAGGATATTCGAAAGGAACACTAGTGATCTTTATCGAGTGGTCAAGGATCCTAAATAATCCCATAAGGACTTCGTGAGTAGGTTTTCTAGGGAAGCGTTAAACATACCAAACATTGACATGGCCACTCTAGTGGAAACCTTTAAAATTGGTCTGAAGAATTCTTCCATTCCCCAAATTTGATGTGGGTTTAGGTTGTGAAATCCCTTTATGGCACATATGTTTTTTTCCCCTTTGATCCCGATGATAGCTTGGTTAGGTCCTTGGAATGGTATTACTCGGATGTCAGCCCAACTTTGTGATTGTGGCTTTGTTTTTTAGGTTGTTTATCTTATTACCATAAGAGATGAGGCTTCTAACTCTTTTTCGCATGAAGTTTATTTGGGATATTTACCTCTTACTGTCTCTTTTCATAGGTTGTATGCATTGGGTAATCATCGTTTCACTTCATTCAAAGATCGAGTTTCACTCGGATGAGATACGAATACTTTAAGACGGTTGCCCAGGGGAGGTATTAAGCAGACTCAGTGGGATGCTTTCTCCATTATTGTGCATGACATCTAGGTACGTGCTAATCCAGACTGATTGGGGTGGCTCCTTGATGTTTTAGATAGTTGTTCAGTTTCCACGGCTTGGTCCTTTCTAGATAGTGGTTTGACTCCTTCGAGAGCAATAGAGACTAGATGGAATAATTCGGTTCCCATTAAACTCAATATTCTCATCTAGAGGGTGAAGTTACGGGGTATCCCTATGAGAGAAAGACTTTCTTATAGATGCATTATGGTGGAGTAGATTATATGTCCGATGTGTTCTCGTGCAATGGAGACTATTGATCATCTTTTTACACGTTGGTTTGAGTTTATTGATTTATAGAGAGGTATTGCTATATGATGGGGTGTCCGTCTTCCTGGTCAGATTTCTGTGTAGTCTCTACTTTCTTGGTCTGATTATGTCTCGGTGAGGGGAGGGCAACAAAAGGCTTTTGATGCAATCGTTTTGACTACTTTTTGGTGTCTTTGGAATTTTTGGAATTACATGTTTTTTGGAACGGCGATCTCTAAAAAATATTTACTTTTTGATGATGTGATAGATAAGACATTTTTTGAAATTCAAATAGATATATCAAAACTATGTTAGGGTGAAATGTTTGGCTTCAAAACCTTACCTTAGGTCAATTTTATTGTAATAATTTCTTTTCTAGACTCTTACTAGTTCTAATATAATTTTGCGGTTCTAAAAAAAGTTTAGAGCACATAGATAAAGGGTTTAGACTCGCTATAAGTTAAAACAAATTCTCAGACATCTCTGTATTTCCGTGTATACGTTAATCGATGTCAAATCAATTCTTGTTCGTCCCGATTGCTTGTTTCTATCTTATTTCTTTCCCAAACACATACAGACATTACGATTGATAGAAAAGTTTTTTCTAAACTTTTTAACTTCACTTATTTCATAATTTATGGTTGTAAATATTTTTACTATATAATTTTATTCACTCATAACATATAATATACAGAGACAAAATTTTTAACATATACACTACAAACTGAAGTCATTCTGGCGAGATCCGAACAAATACACCACAAAAACACGGGCAAAATAACAAGTGAAGAGAAGAAAGAAAAACCGTTTAACCATTAATCAAAAAACGATGAAGTCAGATGCATTTTTCCTCAAAAAACTACTTTAAGACTTATAAATAGAAAATTTTCTTTTAAAAAGCTACTTTTAAAACTTTTACTAATCCATGAAAAATGATGTTGGACATAAAATCAATAAACGTGTGCGTAAGGGAAGGTTTGGTGATCACCAATCGATCAAGTGGTAGAAGTTAGAAGTCGTATCAACATTCTCTACCTTCACGCGTGGGCCTCTTAGTCTGAAAAACACTATTAATTAACATAAATATGGCGATGTCAATTCATGTCAATATTAAGATAAGTACTATATGCTTTCACCAAATAAAATATTTATTTGACCATGTTCCTTGATATTAAATTTATTTTATTCAATTCATTCTAGATTCATGCAACATTAATATGGTAAGCTTTTGATATGTACATATATGTTTATTTGGTTATTTATTTATTTATGTGTGAACACTAAAGTCCCCTTTGAAAGTCACCATATTCACACCTCATTTTTTTTGTCATCTATAAATCACCATCTTCATTTTATCTTGTTGTATATCTCTCACTCCAACTCAAGAACCATGTCTAGAGCCAACATCCTCTTCTTTACTCTCCTCCTTGTTCTCTTCTTTACGATGTCATCTGAGGCACGTTCGTTGCCTGCTCTATCACATGTCACCACCTCCTCCACTACAGTCGCCACAAACACTCAAACTAAGGTACGACAGCTCTTGAATTCTTTTTTATCTGCATGACATCATATTATTAGTATGTTATTTGATAAGTTTGTTTTCTTGTAGGGAGTTGATGAAGAAAGTTGTGAAGGAGTTGAGAAAGAAGCATGCTTGATGAGAAGGATGCTTGATGCTCATCTTGACTATATCTATACTCAAGATAAAAACCCTTAAAGAGAGTCGATTATGTATGTCACGGTTTTTATATCGTTAACTTTGTGATACCTTTTGTGGTGTTTAGACACCCTTGAATAGCATGTAGTTTGTGTACATTAAAATCCATACTATATGAGTCGACGAGTGTTTCAATTTAAATTCCATTTTAAATTTCAAGACTATGAAATAGCTCGTAGATGTGTTAAAGATTTTTAGACTCTTTTAGCAGTATGGATACTATTGAACCATTGACCCTTATAATTATTCTTTGTGTTGAATATGGTCGTATGCAAATCAACTAGTCGTGTCAAACGTCTTCTAGATTACAATATTAAACAATAGTCGCACGTCATAATATTATTTATTTAGAAAAAACTTTAAGATGCGAAAATATTAAATTGTACATAAAAAAATTCTAAACCGTTTTTTTTTTTTTTACATCATGAAAAGTGAAAATACAAACAGCATATTATTATTTCTATTTTTTTGGTATGATTTAATATTGTAAATGTAAAACTTTCAATCAAAAAAAATTGCAAAACAATAATAAAAAAAATTGCAAAACAATATCAACAAAAAATAGAAAACAAAAAATATATAATAAAGAATAAATATAAGGGTCCACTCCTGAGTCATGACTATACATTATAAACGCCAAAGGCACTGTTTTCCCACGGTTTTTCCAAGCATCCGCTCGGCTCTAAATAATACAATGTAAAATATTATGTTTAACAAAAAAATACAAAATAACATTCACTCTAACTTATTAGTTTTTTTTTTGTTTCATTAAACAGTACTTTTAATATGTATTATATAATCAAACAGAGTATTTAAATTATATGTTAAGTTAGTACCATATACTTAATCATGTATGATGTATATTTATGTATCGAATAAAGGATACAATTGAAATTTATCAATCAAAAATAGTGACGTCATGTTATTTGAAGTGATATAAGTAATCGTTGTACATAAATGGTTATGAAGTTCATATTTACGAAGGTTTTTACCAGGTTTGATTTATTTATTTGTTTATGTAGATGATTATGTAGACTCTTATTATGATGAATAATCCTTTTGAATAATACAATGATGAATATATACCAAAGACCATCAAAACTATTAATATAATCAATTTTGACTCACTATTCGATCATCAAAATAATATGTTTCTTATCGTTACGGAAAATAAACGTTCTTCTTGATGCTACAAAACAGTATTTTATTATCTATGCACAACATATTGAAAACTTGCAGAAACAAAAGAAAACTCAAATTTAAACATGTTTACATTAAACTATTAAAGTTTGGACGCCGCTTTATACCAATCAAATTTATGTTTTATGGAGTTGTATAATACAATACTTTAATGCATAAATTGTTGTGTATAGAAAAAATTTGTTGTGTACAAATCAGTTCCGTATCCAAAATTCAACATTGTAGTCCCTCAATTTGCAGTTTCCTTACTTTTCCCTTATGATAATCGTCTGTTTTATTGTCCGAATATTGGATTTCCATGATGTCTGTTTGTTTAAGTTTATATAAAATCTTAATTAAAGGAATTTAATGCCAATTGTAAGCTTCTTAAATTTGGTAATACCGATCAAATTTAGCACTTCTTATCAAAAGGATTTTTGTTAGTTTTCTTTACTCATCATGAAAACTAATAAAATTCTTCCTTGGAATTTCTTGAACACTTTTTGTCTATGTACATTCGTTAGTGGGGTAATGTCGAACATCAATTATCGCATAAGAAGTTAGTTTTTATAACATTTTTCTGCATCTGACAAACTAATACTATTGAAAACATCCCACTCAAAGAATAGTTGGTTACTTGGCCAAAAACAAACACCACAATTGTTGTTTCCATCGGGCTTAGTCAATCTCACCATGTCACAAATATATTCAATCTTTAAGCAACTTATTGTTCAAATTATTATATCAAAATTTATATAGACGGCAAATAAAAGAATCTAGATTTCATATGTCTATATGAAGTCATACACATGGCAGTTGTATTTTTAGGACATTGTAATAAATAAATGCGTGATTTATAAAATAAAAATATGATGCAATATGGAATTCATTTTATACGTTTTCTAATTTGTCATGTTGTATACAATCAAGTTGCACTTCCAAATTATCTGATTGCTCGTCTTTGACCAATTCAAAAGACTACAACTTTAGAGTATCTCAAGCTCTTATAGTTCACATTGACTATTGAGAACAATAACTTATAATTACATATATGTTTTCTTTTCTACCGTTTGTTTTATAGAATCATTTAATTTAATGTCTCGTTTCATCTTGGTGAACTAATTGTTTTCACAAAAGTAAATGAATACGTGACTTGTAAAATATAAACACAATTTTGATATATTGTGTTGTTCAAACCTCTTACCTCGCATACCAATCATCCAATTAATGTAATGGAAAAACTTCTTATTTGATCAGGTGTTAAGCTTATGCGTTGTCACATCACTACAATTTAGCTTTTAGGAACCAAAGTTGAAACTATTAGCCTAAGTTATGTATTTGATATTTGTAAGGCTAAAAAGAGAAGTATCATTATGTCTTTAATTTTTAGTGTTGTATATAGGAACCGCCTAGAACGTTGTTATTTCATATTCGATGTCTCTATTAGGGAGTGACTAGACCGATGTTATTTCATATTCGATGTCTCTACTAGGGAGTGGTGTTATCCATACCATATAAGTTTTTATTTTTATAATAAAAATATATAATATTTAATTTAAAAATTACAATCCAACTAAAATAATTCCTTCAATTCGAAAGATCATTTGAATCATCTTGTGGAGTCATATAGAGATCGATATGATTAATTCGAAATCTTATTCTATAATATAAAACATATTAGGGAGTGACTAGACCGATGTTATTTCATATTCGATGTCTCTACTAGGGAGTGGTGTTATCCATACCATATAAGTTTTTATTTTTATAATAAAAATATATAATATTTAATTTAAAAATTACAATCCAACTAAAATAATTCCTTCAATTCGAAAGATCATTTGAATCATCTCGCGGAGTCATATAGAGATCGATATGATTAATTCGAAATCTTATTCTATAATATAAAACATATTAGTCATATTATGAATTTTACGAGGTATAATTTACAAGCCATTCGTTGAAATAAATTATGAAAAAATAATTCATTATTACTTCCCAAAAATTTGAATACTTAAATTAAGAAAATTCACTAAAAAATTCAATTTGGAGCAAAATGAAAATTTTAAAATATTAAATTCATAAATATAAATTAATTTACATTTTTTAAACTATATACCAATATTAACTAATTTACATCAACAATATAAACAGACAATATAAATATAAGGTATAAACATAAATATTTTATTTAAAGGGTAATTGTCATCAAAAACCCTTAATTTTACACAAAAAAAAAACGATTTTGCCCAAAATCAATTTTTTTCCCACAGATACTTAACATTTGTCTAATTTTGTTCGTTTTGAGTTTTAGTTGGTTTTGAACAAATAATCGGTAACCTTGACCCTCATGACCATTCTTCCCCATACCCCCACCCCTGTATTCCCTCAGCCACCGCCGAAACCCAACTCCCACCGTCGCCCCTTCTTGTTCATCACTGCTCACCCCTAGTAATCTCTGGTGACGTTGGATTTAGACCTAGATGCAATCACCGCTGGCCTACTCCTGTTGCAATGGTTGGATTGGAGGTGGAGGTCTCACCAGAGAAGACGGCCTCCTCCTGTCGCCATGTATTTGCTTCTGTTTCGATCGCAGGCAAGCTTCAAGGAAGTCGAACTGAGATGACATCCTCTTCTTTTTGTGTCTCGTTTCTTTCCTCCACCTACAAAAAGTGAAAACCGTTGCTCCTCTTCAAATTCGATCGACAGGATTCAAGCAATCCTTCGCCCACTTTCGATTATAGGTATGCCCCTCTTCAACCTTCATGATTCGATCACAGCCCCTCATCCTCCTATCTTTTTCGTGTTTTCTACAAGTTAATGGGTTAGAGATAGAGAAGGGTTTTCGTGTTGCAATGATGGTAATGGTAGGAGATTCAAGGTTGATGGGTTGTGGCCATTGAAGGTGTCTAAGTCCATAACTGTATTTGGTATGTACTTGACCCGACTTGGCATGGTCCATTTGGATTGCATGGCATCGGAATAATTTGGATAGACTTTTGTGAGAAGAGGATATTTATGATTTGTTAATATATTATAAGTTCTAATATATTAACATGAAATCCTATTATTATTTAATTAGTATTGATCAAAAATTAGTTTGGAATTAATTTTGTGATCAAAAGATACTAATTAAATAAATGGGGATTGATTTGGTAAATCATTCATTCTTATATAGTGGGCTTATGATCCATAGTTCTTCATGTTGGGCTAAACCCATGTGGTGACCCATGGATACTCCATGGAGGTTTAAACCCATGGATCATGAGGAATGTGGAAAGGCATGAGTTACATGGTGTAACCCTAATATGCACACTATATAAAGAAGCCTCACTCTAGCAAAATCGGCACTTAAGAGATACAAGTGAGAGCTAGCCGATTTTGGTGCAATATAATCTTCTCTCAAGTTATTCCAATTGTTGGTGGTGTTGTGTGAAGCATTTGAGGCATCACATTTGGGGTGCTAGGCTCACAAAGTCTTAAGGATTCAAAGCTACAATAAAGGTATGTCATTCTACTAGTTTTTGTATTACATATACCCCATCATATGCTAGTTAGGATGAAACCTTGGAAAAATCAAAGTTTGCATGTATAATAGAGAAAACATAGATCCAAGGTTTCTAGGGTTGCATGCACACCATAGGAGTGTTAGAATGCACAAAACCCAACAGTGGTATCAGAGAGTAGGCTAGTTTTCAATTATACTTGATGCTACTTGCTTAAAAATTGACTTTTTGCTCACTGTTTAGTGAACTCGCCGAGTCCATTGGGGGGACTCTACGAGTCCATGTGAAAATTCATCCAACTCGTCGAGTTCGTCCATGCACTCGACGAGTAGGAGGCCCTGAGTGTAGAATTTCGAGTTTCAATGCTGGAATTTGACTAGGATCATTACCCTAAACTGTTTTTAGATTGTTAAACCTGTTTTTGATGTGGTAATGATTGTGCTTA